GTATGGAAATGATTCACCCTTTTAAATTTTCTGTTCATTCCAAGGTGTGTTTTCCCAGGAAGGTAATTCTTAATGAGTCCACAAAACCTTAATAGAGGGAGGCCTTATATTTTATTGTAAAGTATACATGTCAGCCACCTCCATAAATCGCATTGAGCAAACCATTCCCAAGGTCCACTGAGCTGTGTAGACATATGACTGAAGTAGTGTGGAGTGTGTAGACACTCTAGTTTGAATGTATGGTGCTGTGACATCACACACACGCAGTAACTTTCCTATTGCCTTTTTTATTTTTTATCATTGTTTTTCCCTTAAAACAAGATTGAATCCATTTTCCAGAACATTTAGTAAACTTCAGAGCTCCAGATCAAAGACTTAAATATTGGCTCTTCACAGAGACCTGAAGCTTCCCAGACTTTAAATTTAAACTACAAAAAAAAAAAAAAAGGAAAGCAGGCAAAACCCTTAGTGTATTGTTAATTCTGATACACTCTGAAAAGACAAATTGACTAGGAAATGCAGCAGAAATTAAATGAATAAATAGAAAGCCTAACACAAGGCATGTGAACACGGAGCCACCTTATGCGGTGGCCAGCAGAGGCATTCAAACATTTCGTCAGCAGGATCCCAGCCAACCTTCACAGCTCTCTTTATAAAGCTGGCCCAGGCATTCTGGAGCAAGATGTGGCTGTGTAGTCTGCTTGCTCCATAACTGCTTCTGAGGGGCTGGCAAAGGGGCCCAGCAGGCTTGCCCGAGAGCCATGGCAAAGAATGGACTTGTAATTTACATCCTGGTAATCACCTTACTCCTGGACCAGACCACCAGCCACACGTCCAAATTAAAATCCAGGAAACACAGCAAACGCCGAGTGAAAGGTAATGGGGCCTCTCAGTCCAACAAAATTCGAGGCTCACTCAGTGTGGGGAGGTGCTGGACAGTGTTCATATCCAAACTCTTCCAGGAGACGACTCTGGTGATAGCACCACTGCCATTATGTGTATATGGCATTCTAGGGGATTGAGTGACCTTTGAATTCTCTGGGGGCTGTTTGGTATTTAAAGGAACTATGTAGTGGGATTTTTGCAACAAAAAAAAACCTTGTAGTGTAAAAAAATTTCTGTATGGTATATCTTTTGTCACGTGGGCTGAGATTTGCAGAATATTCTTGGAGCTCACCTGGATATGGGAACATCTGGTATTACAAATGATGGGATAAGCAGAACATATTGATTAACAGAGTACACTGTTTCACTCATAGATGCGGAGTAACTCTATTTAAATTGTTTCTAAGATAACTATAATTTTACTACATGTGTAGTAGAGGACACAGCTATTGGTAATTGTGACTTCCCTCTTGTTATTGGTTATGACATAGGTATATTTCCATATTCCTGGCAAGATAAGGACAGCCCATACCATATATTTAAACTTTTTGTGTTGTAGACAGAAATTGAGCCTCTTTAACTTAAAAATATGTCAACATGCAAAGTCATATAGTATTTGAAGATATTTTGACATGAAATTGAATCTCCAAGCAACCTCAAATTTGGGGTGACTTGAATTAGGTGAGGTTAAAAAAAAAGTTTCAAAAACAAAGGTGATGTCAATTTATTTGCAATATGCTAAAACCCAAGCAAAAGAAAAAGCATCAAGACACAGACAGAGTGATGTTTCATCTCATCCTCTGCGTCATTTTTATATCAGAATATTTCTAGATAAATATCATGGCACTGTTTCCTTATCAATATCACTTTATTAATAACAAAACACACAAGAAATACCAACCAGGTTAAAGTCTTGATTTGACATGACACAGTGGAAAAAAAGTGAGCTTGTCTTTGTTTTGTTTTGCTGATTATAAAGTGCTCTTTTCCAGTGGTATTTATTTATAAAATTAAGGTCTGATGCAAGGTTTCTGAAGTGGCAACTTTTTTCCTTGTAAAATATTATATTTCAGGGCCGGCC